ATAGGGCCTAATCACATCAGCCATACCATCAAGGGCTCGTTCACCTGCACATCTACCAATGTGATATATGCCATCATGTGCCAGCAATGCCCCTCTGCCATGTACATTGGCCAAACCGGACAGTCTCTACGCAAAAGAATTAATGGACACAAATCTGACATCAGGAATCATAATACTCAAAAACCAGTGGGAGAACACTTTAACCTGTCTGGCCATTCTATGACAGACCTGCGGGTGGCTATCTTAAAACAGAAAAACTTCAAAAACAGACTCCAACGAGAGACTGCTGAGCTGGAATTGATATGCAAACTAGACACAATCAACTCAGGGTTAAACAGGGATTGGGAATGGCTGAGCCATTACAAACATTGAATCTATCTCCTCTTGTAAGTACTCTCTCACTTGCTTCTTATCAAACTGTCTGTACTGAGCTATCTTGATTATCACTTCAAAAGTTTTTTTTCTCTTACTTAATTGGCCTCTCAGAGTTGGTAAGACAACTCCCACCTGTTCATGCTCTCTGTATGTGTGTGTATATATATCTCCTCAATGTTTCACTCAATATGCATCCGAAGAAGTGGGTTGTAGCCCACGAAAGCTTATGCTCTAATAAATTTGTTAGTCTCTAAGGTGCCACAAGTACTCTTGTTCTTTTTGAGGAAATAGAAGGTTACTTCAAAAGCCTATTGTTCCCCCAAGGACTGCATGGGTCAAGAGGATGCCCAGAAAATGTATAAAGGGCTTTTGGGACCTGATCCTTTCATCTCAGATCTGCTTAAGCTTAATTCACAGCCCTGATATTGAATATTTGGACACTGAACTATAACCTGATGAACTAATTCTAAAAAGGACTCTTAGCAATTCTAAAGCTCACCATATCTACTATGAAACTAACCTAAGTACTGTATTAATTTCTGTATGTATAATCTTTTAACCAATACACTCTTTTCTTTTTTAATACATTTTAGTTTAGTTAATAAGAATTGGCTGTAAGTGTATATTTGGGTAAGATCTGAAATATTTAACCTGGGAGGTAATGTGTCCGATCCTTTGGGATTGGTAGAACTTTTTATATAATGAACAAGATTTTCAATAATCCTCATCGTATTAGATTTGGCTGTCTGGGTGGAAGCCCAAGGCTGGGTTGCTTTAAGGAAACTGTATTTTGGCTTCTGTGCTACCAGTAAGGTATTGTAGAAGCTGTTTTGTTGCTAGCTTGGTAAATCCAAGTATTAGAATAACCACCAGTTTTGGGGATTGTCTGTCCCATTCTCTACAGTTTGCCTTAATTGAGCAATCTCAGTGTGGCTTCTTTAGAACCCTAATCACAGCCACCCTTTGCAAGTTTTTTTTCTCACCCCACGTGCCCACGCCAGGGCACTGAATGGGCCAGCCGTAACAGGACTTGTTGGAATCTCCAGAGGACCAGCAATTATCAGAGGTCCTCTTGTGCTTGAGGATCCTTGGTCAGCCAGTAAAGGTGGTTATGGACCTCAAAATGTGTCCCCTAGGGTAGCCGTTGGTGTATGCCCCCTCCTCTTCAGGGTCTGACTTGTTTCAAGGCCTTAGGGTCAGGTCTTCCTTCTGCTCCCTTAGGAAGTTCCTATCAACTGCCAGGCATTCCTGTCCAGCTTCATCCAATGCAGGGCATTATACTGGTGTTTGGGGGACCTTCACCTGGGTCCTCAGGGCCCAGAAGTCCCCTCTTTGCTGACCCAGGGTTCCCTTCCTCTAGATTCGGTTTTCCCACTCATGCAGGACTTCTCTGAACCATGCCAGTCGTTTCCCAGGATCACTGGGCACACCAGTGCTGGGGCTAAGCCAACCCAGCATACTTCACCGAGGCACCCTGCCTCAAGGCACACCCTGGCGGTCGGGCATGGTCATACATCCCCGTGGATGCACTGCAGGTGGACAGGAGCCCCCAGCGGGTCCGGGGACTTCGCCAGGTTAGCCCAGACCAGTATCTGACTGCACCCTGAATCGATGAGGGGCTGTCACTGGGGTGCTATTCACCCACGCCTGGCTATGGCTGCAGTCCATAAAACAGCAATCACACTGGAAGTGCCCCTCTTGACTACACTCATAGCATTGGCTTTTGGGTATTCCCATGCACGGGTCAGGTCTCAGTACCCCAAGTCCACCTGATGGGACTCTTTCTCACAGAAGGGTGGATGTGTGGTTCGGCTCCCGCCATGAGTTGGTCAGCAGCAGCCCTGGCTTGTTCTGGGGCCTCTCCATTTTGGGCCTATGCTTCCCTCTATTGGCAGTCTGGCCCCTGCCCCCCAGGGTTCCCTGGTTTAGGGTTCTGCTGTTTGGGCCCTTCAGTGGTCAGATAGTCCCCCATCAAGGATACCACCTCTGCAAGGTTTGCCAGGTGGTGACATTGCACCCACTATTTCCCCCGGTGGGGAGGATCTGGGTGAATTGCTCCAAGGCTACCACCTCCATCACTTGGGCCCTAGTCAACTTCTCTGGGTTTAGCCATCTCCAGCAATAGTACTGAAACACTGTCTGAAGTCAGGCTCCAAGGGAGGGTTAGCATTCCTGGCAGAACAGCTGTCAGTAGGTGTTGGGGCTAATGGCAGTGTGGCCCAGGATGATTGCCTTCACTTTGGGGTTATCCAGTACCTCATGAGAATCCAAGTTATGGTAGGCAGACTGTGCTAGGCCAGTCAAATATGGAGCCACCAGGGTTTCCCAGTGCTCTGCAGCCATCGGGTGGCAGTGCTGACCCGCTCAAAAATGACAAGGAATGCCTCTGGATCATTGCTGGGCCCATCTGGCTGAGTTGCACCAGTACCCCACCAAGAAGTCCCCTGCCTCTGGTCCTGCCAGGGCAAGTCTAGGTGGCCTGGTCAGTTGCAGCTGCGTCACCATCCATTGAACCAGGCACTCCTTCCGCACCTGGTGTTGGGCGGCTAGCTCCCGGACCAGCTGCTGCTGCTACTCCTGATGCTGGGCCATCTGGAACTGTTGCTCGGTGGCTATCTGCTGGGCCTGCTGCTGTTGTCGTTGGGCCACTTGCTGCTGCTGCTGGCTCTCCAGCATCCACTTCAGGAGCTTCTGTTTCCATATCCGCCATGAGGGTTTCGTCATCTGTTCCTCCTTATCTGGACCTTTTAGCACGTCCCTATCATTGCCTGCATTCTACACCAAGTGTCGTAGGGTAGATACACCCCCATCACACTGTCATGTATGGCATCCCTGAGCTCTGTAATAGAACAGTCAGAGCTACAGATTGGGAGTCAGGAATTCTGACTCACAACTGTGTGGCTACTGGCCACATGCTTAAGTGTTTTTTTTTTTTTTTTTTTTAAAAGGGGTTTGGGCTCGTGGCCCCTTCCCCTCCCTGCTTGTGTGTGGTGGTTTTTTTGGTTCTTCATGGTGAAGAGGGGTTAAAAATAGTTGGGGACCCAGATACCATAGGACTTCACTTGACTGAGATCTGATTGCTGGATCAAGGACTTAGGGATGACCCAAAAACTTTTGAGTTCGTTCACTCAAGAAAATCCACTTTGCCAACAATTGAAGTAAAAGTCCTTGTTTCATAATTTTTTAAAATTAAATAAGTGGCTCTGACCAGTGTTCCCTCTAACTTTTCCCACCCATGTGCAGAATGAATTTTATGTGCAGCAATATGGAGGTGATGTGTGACATATCACCTCCATATCAGTGCACATAAAAAAATTCATGTGGTGGGGGTGGGGCTGAGGGGTTCAGAGTATGGGACAGGGCTCAGGGCTAGGGCAGGGGTTTGGGGTACAGGGGTGTGAGGGCTCTGGCTTGGGGTGCAGGCTGTGGGATGGCCCCAGAGATGAGGGGCTTGGGGTGCAGGAGGGTGCTCTGGGACTACAGTGGGGAGACAGCACTCCCCAACCCTCTCTCCCAGCAGCAGCAGCAGCAGCACCTGGGCTGGAGAGGAGAGACGCCTCTACCTGGCGCGGCAGCTCTGGGTCTGAGGCCGCAGGATAGGTGCCCCTCCCCTGGTCCCCGCAGGTCCGGCCAGGGCTAGGATTGGGGAGGGGTGCCCTGTGAGAGGTCCAGGCTGGGCTGCTCAGGTTTAGGCCAGACCACCTCAGCCGGGTCTGGGTCTGGGCCAGGCTGCCGCGGTGGGGTCTGGGCCGGGCCAAGCCACATGGGTTCGCGCCATGCTGCCCCAGCCGTGGCTGGGTCAGGGCCGCCCTGGCCAGGTTCGGCCCGGGGTAGGGGCCCCCCGGCTGCAGCAGATCCAGGCTTCGGCATAATTGGGGCCCGGGGCTGCTCCAGCTGTGGCAGGTTGGGGCTGGGGAGGGGCACCCCTCCCCAGGCAGGTTCACAGGCAGGTTCCCTGAGCGCCTGTACGGCGCTTAATAGGCTGCTGCATAGCCAGGTGGCCCTGCAGCTTACAGGGAACTTAGATTCTGACCTCCTTGGAAAAAATTTAAGAGGGACTTTAAACACCTTCCCCTGAAGACAGCACTCTTGCAGGCATGCCAAGCACATGCGAATAGCATTCCTCTCTCTATTTACATAATACTACATTGTCTTGGTTAAAGCGGTTATGTTGTCACAGATTAGGAGCAGCTAATGTTATAGCCAACAGAACCACTGCGGAGGTGGGGGGAAACTGTAAATTTCATTAAAGAAAATGTAATTGAAACAAATTTAAAAAAGAAAAACAAGAAATTCCAACCAGCTCTGTAGCTGGTTTAAAAAAATGCATCCAAATTGTGAAGGTTTTTTAATCAAAACCTGAAATCTTGTCAAATCTAAATTTTGCAACTTCATGCAACTCTAGTGACTAATGTGCCTGTGGGGTCTCCAATATCACTATTTCACAGATAACAAATTTATACAAGATGCAGAAGGCAAAGAGGTGTCTCTAAAACAAACTTACAGGAGGAATGAAAGTGTATTTGTTTTGTTTTTTCATTTATTGGACAGACTTGAAAATATACAACTAAAATATGAAAAATTCAGATTTAAAAAGCAATGATTTTAATAGATTTTGAACTCACCTGTGTGTGTTTTGATGATAGATTTGCCTTGCTTAATGTTATCTTTATTTTTGAGACGGCTGATCCATTTTCCAGTCAACTCTTTTTCTATGGTTTCTGAGTCTGACAACTCAGAGTGATCACCTATAAAAATAAGTATCAGAGGGGTAGCCGTGTTAGTCTGGATCTGTAAAAAGCGACAGAGTCCTGTGGCACCTTATAGACTAACAGACGTATTGGAGCATAAGCTTTCGTGGGTGAATAATCACTTCGTCAGATGCATGTAGTGGAAATTTCCAGAGGCAAGTATAAATATGCAGGGAAAAATCAGTCTGAACTAACCTCTTTATCTCTAATCAGGGAAGATGAGGCCCTCTTCTAGCAGTTGAGGTGTGAACACCAAGGGAGGAGAAACTGCTTTTGTAGTTGGCTAGCCATTCAGTCTTTGTTTAACCCTGAGCTGATGGTGTCAAATTCACAAATGAACTGAAGCTCAGCAGTTTCTCTTTGAAGTCTGATCCTGAAGGTTTTTTGCTGCAGGATGGCTACCTTTAAATCTGCTATTGTGTGTCCAGGGAGATTGAAGTGTTCTCCTAAAGGTTTTTGTATATTGCCATTCCTAAGATCTGACTTGTGTCCATTTATCCTAGGAGAACACTTCAATCTCTCTGGACACACAATCTCTTCTTCCTCCTCCCCCCCCCCCACCATGGAGATAAGGTATAGGAGATGGGGAGGAGGGGGGGACACCCTGACATTAGCCCCCCTCTTCCTCCCTCCCCTGCACAGCAAGCAGGAGGCTCCTGGGAACAGCCCCAAGGCAGAGGGCAGGAGCAGCACATGGCAGTGGGGGGAGGGACAGCTCAACTGCTGGCAATTGGTACCCTGCTGGGCGGCTGCTGCACAGGGAACGTAGGGGAGCGGGGAGCTGATTTGCGGAACAGGGGAGAGGCTGCAGGTCCACCCTGGTTCCAAGCCCCCACCAGCTAGCTGCAATGGGCTGCTCTTCCTGCAAGCAATGGACAAAGCAGGCGGCTGCCAAACAATGTTATAAGGGAGCATTGCGCAACTTTAAACGAGCATGTTCCCTAATTGATCAGCAACATAACAATGAAACAACATTAACTGGGATGACTTTAAGTGAGGAGTTACTGTACAGACTTACTTTGGAAAATCCACACCCCTACGCAACACAGTTATACCAACTTAATCTCTGGTGTAGACAGTCCTATGTCAGAGGGAGAGCTTCTCCCATCAACACAGCTATCGCCTCTTGGGGAGGTGGATTAACTGTGCTGATGGGAGAGCTCTCTCCAGTCAGTGCAGACAGCGCAGCTGTGCCAATACAGCATTTTAAGCGTAGACCTGCCCTAAAACAGGTATATAGCACAGCTGAAAACAGTCAAATCTTGCAGATTTCCCCCCTCTTTAACAAGTATTCTTTACAAGAAAAGGCTGTCTCACTTTTTATATGTATTCCTTTAACTAGTCAATTTCGTCCATATTTTACTTTTGTGTGCTAGATGATTATTCCTCTAGATATGCTGTTCTGGCTGTATGAAGAGCACTTAAACTATTTTTCTGCAGAAGGTTTTTTTATTAAAATGTATGCACTATGAAAACAGAGATCCAGAACCAAGTCACTAAATTTAACATATCAGACAATTCACTTAAATTCCATTGTATCTAGTCCCAAGCCTGGTTGAAAAAGGAGGAGGAATGGTGTCAGGCTGGCAGCTGGCTGTAAAACTGCCAAAGAAATCAATTAAATGAGTCCTTAACATGCCCCATATGAACTAGGGTGTTTCCCAGATGGAAGGACTAGAAGAGCTGACCCCAAACAGATGGAACTAAGGCTAGAAGAAGACACTTATATAATGTGGCATGAACAAGTCACCAAGGCAAACATCTCATTATGCAGATCTTTGACACATTGATCTATAAGGCTAAATTCTGCCCTTGGGTGCACACGATTTCCATTTAAGACATGTGAATCCAAGGGCAGAAATTGGCCTATAGTAAGCTTTCATGCCTAAATAAGTTTTATGCTGGATCCTTAACTGTAGCAGTGCTAGTTACTTTTGTAGAGAGAAAGGTCAAATGTATTGTTGGGTCAGGGAGGGAAGGAAAGACACTAAGGATACAGCTATACTGCAATAAAAAACCTGCAGTCAAAAAAAACCCTCAAGTCTCAGAGCCCAAATCAACTGACTCAAGTATACAGGGCTAAAAATTGTAGTGTAGATGGTCGGGCTTGGGTTGGAGCCTCGGCTCTGAGACTCGCTCTCTAGGGGTTTCAAAGCCCAGTTCTCTAACCTCAGCCCCAGTTTGAACGTCTACACTGCAATTTTTAACCTTGCAGCCTGAGTCCCCCAAGCCTGAGTCAGCTGACCCAAGCCAGCCATGGCTGTGCCCTGGGTATTTTATTGCAGTGTACACATACCATAAGGAGCACTAGGATAAAAGGCATGTTTGCTAATGTTTTAAGCTAACACGTTTTAAAATTCTAGTTCAGACAGGGTTAACTATATTTTAACATTTGTTAGCCAGCCAACGTGAACCCAAAGTGGGAGGCTGGGTTATGACACCAACAACTACCGCAAGTTAAAACGCAACTTACTCTGTCTATATTAGTTTTTAAAACATGTTAGTTAAACCACTTTAGCTAACACATTTTAAAAATAAATTATTTATCTTAGAGTGGACAAGCACTTATACCAAGAGAATGTGACAGGTTTAAAAATAGCAGCTGATCAATGGCTTGAAGTCACCACTGTATCTCCCAGACTAAACAAAAGGATAGAAAAGGAGACTGCAGGAGGATGGGGAACACTACCAAAATGTCAAAGAAGGAAGACCCCTATTATGTCAGCTTTTATCCTCCTCCCTCTGCTTCTTTTACTCTTACCTGCTGTAGGTTTGTTAATGTTACATATATTTTTAGTGATAAGGTGGGTGATGTAATATATTTTATTGGACTAACTTCTGATGGTGGAAGAGAAGCTTTTGAGCTATACAGAGCTCTTCTCCAGGTCAGAATAAGAGTTCTGTATAGCTCAAACTTCTCTCTTCCACCAACAGAAATTGGTCCAATAAAATATATTATCTCAACCACCCTCTCTCTCTCTCTCTCTCTCTCACCCTAGGACCAACATGGTTACAACAGTACATTTTCAGGTCTTTCTCCAGTCTACTTTTAAATGTCCCTAGTGATGGACCTTCCACAATTCCCTTGGGAAACTATTTTTACAGTCTAGTTATTTTTCTGAAACGGAAATTCAGTCAAGGTATCTTTAAGACCTGTTTATCATACCAATAAAACTCCAGCACACAGTAAGATTGAATAAGGGCTTCCATACCTAAACACTCAATTTGGTACATTATACTCTCCATTAAGTCTTGATTCAGCAAAATTACAGAGCTGGCTGAGGAAGCCAATGTTTTGAGGCTTCTGTTGCTGTGCACAGCAAGAAAATTGGATGTAATTTTTATTTTGTGTTCGCTGATCTGTGCCCTTCTGTGTAATTTTAAAATTTGGTGGAGGACTGACTCAAATGCACGGAAACCTTGTGTACCTTCATCATCCTGGCTTACTGACTGCCATACGCTTTCAGATATATCTAACACAGCAGCAGGCCACTCCAACTCCTCTGTGGAACAATAAGATTCAAACGGTTCACTCTCATATTGCCTGCAGGCTTCCTCCTCCTCCTCACTAAAGGATTCAAATGTATCCTCAAAATAGTCTGAAAGAGTAGTGCTGCAACTCCGGCCTGATTCCATCTACTCCTCTTCAAAGCACCGAGTATTCAATCCAGCTGGTCACCAAAGTAGAATACTAAAAATAATAAAAAGAAAAAGCCATAACAGATTTGGTAACACATGGCTCTTAAAAAGATTCACCTGGACTACTGCTCTGTAAATCATCAGTGCAATTTACTCAGTCAAGTTACAAATAGCTGTTACAGACGTGTGTGTGCGCGCGCAAGGTATAGTTCAACCTCAAACAGGGCCGGCGCTTCTACTAGGCGACCGTAGGCGGTTGCCTAGGACGGCAGGATTTGGGGGGCAGCATTTTGCCGCCCTCAGCAGAAATTCGGAGGCGGGGTTCCTTCTGCTCCAGGTCTTCGGCGGAAATTCAGCGGCGGGTCCTTCACTCGGTCCAGGACCCGCCGCCGAAGTGCCCGAAGATTCGGAGCGGAAGGACCCCCGCTGCCAAATGCTCAGAGGAGGAGCGCTGCCGCCTAGGGCAGCTAGGGTGACCAGATGTCCCGATTTTATAGGGACAGTCCCGATTTTTGGGTCTTTTTCTTGTATCGGTTCTTATTACCCCCCCCACCCCCGTACCGATTTTTCTCACTTGCCGTCTGGTCACCCTAAGGGCAGCAAACTCTGGCACCGCTCCTGACCTCAAAATACGAGTCTGAAATAGTTATTTCATGAATCTGCAATATATCAAAATTTAAGTGATTTTATTTTAACCTCATTGCAGATGTACATACCCTATAACCTACTACTGCAGATAAGTACAGATCATTACTTCAGCCATAACTGTACTAAATGTGGCTTATCACTGTAGTTGCTCACAAGATTAAAGTATATACTTGAAGTCTCTTGATATCAAAACTACCATAAGACAATATCCTTTAATTTCTAAAAATGTGCAGAACCAGACAATTTGTCAAATTAGCTAGATTTCTATTTTTTATACTCTTCACAGATTTACAAATAGACTGAGGCCAAGTTATGAATTCCTTACTTAGGCAAAATTCCCACTGAAGTCCATGGACATTTTGCCTGAGTAAAAACAGACAACCAGATTTTACCACCCTTATTCATAGAACTATTCCTGGAGTAATGTACTACTCAATGTAAACAAGGTTGTAGCCCTAAGTAAGGAATTCAGGCTATCCCGCTTTACGATGACTGCCTTCTATAGCAGAATTTTTGATAGCTTGCCTTTCATAAAAGGCTTTAAAAAGAAACCATGCAATTGTGGTATTAAGAATTAATGTTAAGAATTTACACTAAATTGTGGGTAAAATTTTTCATATGAAAAAATGACCAAGAAATTGAAATTGTTGCTGTGGATTTTTATCCCTCTCACTGGCCACTCAGAAATACAAAGCGTCCTTGGACTACTCAGCTTTGTTTTGAAAATTGGAAAGAAAACAGACATCAACTGCTTGATATACTTAAATTAATGGGGATTTATTCCAAATTGGAAAAAAGAAAATGAACAAACAAAAACCCAACCCAAACTGTGGGAAGAAAACAATACTCACATACATAATTGGTCATTAATACATTTTAAAGCATCAAATGTGCTTACTTTATCCTCTTTCATTAGGATTATGTCTTAACCATTTCCTCCATTCTAATCATGGAAACGCTCTGCTCAATTTAGGTACTGTTATAGCACAGCAAACAGAGAATTAGAAGCAGCCTGATCAGAGTTTTTTTTGTATGCCTACAAATGTCTTCACATGATAAAGTACTTACAGGTACTCTTCCTTCCCTAGTCTTTAATTTAGGTTGTTTAATAAAATATTAATCCCACATTTCTTGAGCAATAAAAATTGCCATCCATTTTAGATCCAATTTGCATTTTTTGTTCATTCATTCATGTAAAACAGATCAGTTCCAAACTTCAAATGCCCAAGTCAAATAAAAAAAAGCCAATCTCTATTTAAATACAGCTCAACCTCTTATTGAAAAAAGATTATAATTTAACAAAACAATTGGTCCTTGGAGAGAGAGTCATTATTTTTCTTTATCTGAGGCTAAAGATTCTGAGAACAGGTACTTGCATGTTAAAAATGATTTATTCTGTGAACAAAGTCTTTATAATGATGGCAACATTTAAAAACCGATTCACAAAAAATAACTCCTGTAAAGGAAGAATGCTGGAATGAATGATTAAGGCCCTAATCCTGCAAATATGCAGGTGCTTAAATGTTAAGCAAGAGTAGTCCCACTGAGTACTCAAAATATATACTGGAGCAAGATTTTCATGAATAAAGAAATAGTGGGTAGGTCACTATCCTAGGCTACGTCCTCACTACGGGGGGGAGGGAGGGGGGTCGATTTAAGATACATCAAATTCAGCTACGCTATTCGCGTAGCTGAATTTGCGTATCGCAGCCGACTTACCCCGCTGTAAGGACGGTGGCAAAATCGACCTCCGCGGCTTCCCGTCGACAGTGCTTACTCCCACCTCCGCTGGTGGAGTAAGTGTCGATTCGGGGATCGATTGTCATGTCCCGACGAGACGTAATAATTCGATCCCCGAGAGGTCGATTTCTACCCGCCGATTCAGGCGGGTAGTGTAGACCTAGCCCTAGTGGAAGAGGATAAAATAAGCAAGATCAAGTTTTTAAAATGTAGCCATAGCCAAATGTATAGAAATGCTGTTTTCTTCTGATACTGTGTGGGGTTTTTTTTGGTCACCAGAGCTATTCAAGTGCTTAACGTTCTGCACTAGCATTGGTCTTTACAGGATCAGGGCCTACACTTAAACTCTACACTGCATACAAACATTAAGTTGGCACAATAAGAGAGCAAAACACGGATACACAACTAATTAGAATGCTTGAATCTGCAGTACATACATAAGGTGAAATCCTGGATCCATTAAAACCAATAGGTGCCACTGACTTCAGCTGAGACAGGATTTCACCCATATTTAACTTTGCATTCAGACACGCATGTAACTACCATCTTTGACCTCAATGGAAATTTTTCCTGCATAAGGACTGCAGGATCAGACCCCACGTAGTCAATAGCTCACTTTTTCCCATTGATATAACTATAAAACTAAAGTGATCTTAGCTGAATATGTACCCTACCAATGCCATAAAGCAAAAGTTTGCAACATAGAGATTTAACTTCCAAATTATGTGTTGCATTCAATGTTCTAAGTATACTCCTAAATTTCAGCTAACATTGATCTGTGTATAGTGGTGAACAGAAGTTCTATAGAACTTGAACAGAACACAAAGGGCTTGAACTTGTTCTCACTGAAGCTAAAGGCAGAACTCCCATTGAGTTCCATAGCACAGGATCAGGGCCCCAAAAAAGAGGATCTATTATAGCTGGCTGAATGGTATGACAAATTAATCTGAACCTTGTCCATATACAGGCATTTGTAATTTCTAACCAGAAATATATTTGTAAATCCATTTTGTATGGGTCATGTTGCAAGCCTATGCGTACAAGATCAGAAACTTAACACCTCTCTAAAAGTGTTACCTCTGTCAATGTTATGTACCTTGAACACTTTGTGTTTTTTAAAAAAAAAAAGTTATGGGAACTGTGTATTGATAACATCACCTATGACATTTTGTTTGAGACAAGCTGGGTAATAATCTTTGTAATGTAAATCCTTTGGGATTCTTTCATCTGTCCTCAATCTTAAGTATACAGTTATAACATACATAAGAAAATATCTGACCTGACACCAAGTCACATCCATGTATTAGCTAATATCATCAGCTTGCCAAAGTAAATATGAGCCTATCTACATATGGGTTCCCAAGTGGCAGAATTTGGCCCTACATATCACTAAGGGCCAAATTCTGCCACTTGGGAACCCACTGACTTCAATGGCATTGCACTGGTTTACGGTATGTGTCCCTGAATGAAGATCTGATCAATAATAGCTGCTGCTCCTGTTCTCCCAGGCTTCAGAACACAAATGTCCATCTCCTGCAGCCATGTCTCTTTATTTCTACTGTCAATTCTGAATGAGCTGCTAATGCCAAAACAGTTCTAAACCCATAGATAATAAATTCCTGAGATACTGTCCCCAAACATTATTTTAGCAGTCAAGACAGTTCTTATATTAACTCAATATGGGACTCTTGAAAGTTCATATGGCAAGAAACCTCTTTCCCCAAACTCTAAATGTTTTAATTTTGTTTGTTTGCTTCTTTTTAAAATTAAAAATCAGCAGAGATGTAGCATGATCTAGGTGTGAGGATTTGTTGGACTTAACCATGGGTCTACAGGGCATCAGGTGGGCAGTGCTTCCATGCTGCTAATAGGCAGACTAACAATGCTACTGCCAACGCCCCATACATCCTGGAAGACCAATCTTTGCAGGGAAGTACCACCAATGGTAGAGATGACTGGCAGCTCCACTTGATAAAGTGCAGGCATCTTTGTGTCTGATGATAGATTTAGGGCTACCCCTCTCCCCTCCCTTCTCCTTGTTAAGGGTTTGATAAGGTTGCAGCTGCCTGAGGAATGAGGATGCCTTTTGGGGTAAAGTAGTGTTATCTCCCTCTCCCTTTCTTTCCCAGCTGCACAGGCGAGTTTGGGGTCATGGTCCCTTTCTCCCTTCCCTGCAAACTGCTGATGCAAGGAGTTCATGACTGCAATTATAGCAAAAGAAGTGTATCTTCAAAGTAAAATTTATCGGTAGAATATGTTAATGAGGTAAATAGTAATCAGGGGCAGGGATACTTATATTCAGTATAGGGTTATCAATATTCATTGTATGGGCATTCATATTACTCTATAAGGGTTTTGGGGATGTTATAATAAATGTAGGAATTTACATACTAATGTAGATAAAGAGTATGATGTAACTAATCCAGTGCTTACTGGACAATTGGGTCCAGGAGAACAAGTACCACAATAAAGAAGCCCATCTACTCAAATCTGCCTCTGGGTCAGCCTGTTTTTCTTCCAACAAAATCCACTAACTGGGGAAGTAAGGATTTGAAGAGGGGTTTCCTACCTCTTAGGTGAGTACTCTAACTACTGACTATATGATATTCTGATGTGGGGACTCCCTCAATCTCTCCTATTGACACTGTTCCAATGTCTCTAAAGAGAAAGTGGTTAAGGGGGACTAGGGACTGGACTTTGGTCTCCCATTTCCCATTTGGGTGCCCTCACTTCTAGGCTACAGAGTCAATCTCTCTCTCTGCCCCAGTGACTGTTCCACTGTAGATAAATACTTAAACAGTCATTAGATCAGAGAGTGAGAATGCCTCTGGGTATGGCTACACTGCAATAAAAAACTCAAGACATCACGTCCCAGAACTGGGGTCAATTGACTAGAGCTGCAGGGCTAAAAATAGCAGTATAGACATTTGGGCTCAGGTTGGAACCCAGACTCTGAGATGCTCCACCCTCATGAGGTTTCAGAGCCAAGGCTCCAACCAGAGTCCTTTGTGCCCATGTCAATTGACCCAGGCTCTGAGACTTGGTGCTGCAGATATTTTTATTGCAGTGTAGATGTATCCTCTGTAGCCTGGTGGGTAGGAAGTCAAGGCGCCTAACTCAAGCTTTGTGGATCACAGTGCTGTTCCTGTGACTTTCTAGGTCCCTAAAAGTTCAGCACCAAGATGCTGACTGCTACATTGCCTAAGTCCCTTTGTGGATCTGGGCCCTACTGTCTAGAGCAGGATTCCTGGGTTCTATTTGCAGTTCTATATGCTTGACTCACTGTGAGCTTGGTGAAAGCCAGATTTTCAAAGGTATTTAAGCACGTAAAGATGCAGTGGGATTTTCAGAAGTGCCAAGCAACTTAGGCACCAAACTAGTATTAATTTCAACTGGTGTTAGATATTTAATCTGTTTAGGTGTGTAGGGAGCCAGGGTGGCTGCCCTCCGAACCTGAGGGTAAAGGGCCGCTCTCTCAGCCTGAGTGGGCGGGGCCAGGCCAAGCTCGCTACACCCCCCGGAAGGGGAGGGGTGGAGCAGGAAGTATAAAGGGCGGGGCCCTTAGCTCAGTCAGGGCAGCACCAGGGAGGGAGGCAGACGCAGACCGCGGGCTGCTCCCTTCAGACCCTGCTGCCACGCCAGGGGAGGCCCTGGACCCGTGGAAACCTCACCTGGAGGATGGACTGGGGCTGCCAGGACTGCCTGCTGCCAAGTACCCAGAGGGACTGGAGGAGCCGGAGGGGGAGCTGGAGCTGCCAGCAGCCGAGGAGCTGGAGGAGCCTGAGCCTGAGGGGGAGCTGGAGCTGCCAACAGCGGACTATCCCGACGCACTGGCGGGACCAGAGGGATTCGGACGAGCAATCGGGTAGGAAGTAGCCCAGGGACAGAGCTGCACAGTGGTGAGTCTATATAGCGGAAGGACCCTGCTGACCCAGTGGCGGGACCCTCGTCCTGCCACTGTCAGGGCCCTGGGCTGGAACGCAGTGGTGTAGGGTGGGCCTGCATTCCCCTACCCGGCCAACCCATGCCGGGACCTGTGCCGGCGCTCCCCTGCCTGAGGGGCGCGCTACAGACACTGGCTGGCATCCTTCCCGCCGCTAATTCCCCAGTGGCAGAGGCGTGACCCAGGCCGGCCAGTGACGTCGTAGCTCCCCACTGCCCCCTAGCGGGTAGGTGGACCGACAGCAAACACAAGGTGCTTTTGAAAATCCCACTTAGGCACCTAATTGGATATTTAAGCGCATAAATACCTTTTTAATATATGGCCCATAAGGGCCGATTTTCAAAGATGCTCTACTTCAACTCCAACTAACTTTGACAGAAACTGCCAGTACTCAGCACCTCTGAAATTAAGCCCTAGGCTTTGGCCTGCCCATCTGTAAACTACCACACATGGACGTTGTGAGGCTCAATTAAGGATGGTTTGTAATGTATTAAGCTTTAAGAGCTACTTATGGAAATGCAAATTAGTGTTTCACAGCCTATTGTCTACTGCATCTGTTAGTGGCTGCCATAATGATGAATAGGTTATGAAGGCAATAGGATAGGGTCTCAATGTCAGATTGTAAAAGGGTTTCTATTTTGCTTTTAGGCTGGTTCAACAATCAAACTTTCTGATCTAAACTTTTCTAATATTAATAAACATTGATGTACTTCTTCTGCTTGTTACAGCAGCATTAATGCAGGATTGAAACTGGTTACTGAGTTCAAGGCCATGGGAGGATAACAATAAGAAATGCAAGCTGGGAGTCAATTAGTACTCTAACGCACACACTTACCTAATACCTTGGTGTTAAGTGAAGCTTCAGCCACAGCAGGCATAGAAGGTGGTAGAAGGGGAAGGAACTGGAGGAATTCAGCAAAATGATGGATTGGCTGAGCTGGAACCACTTCACAACATCAGATGTAACCAACATCACCTTGTCTTTACAATACAAAGTGGTAAGTTACTAAACAAGTTGAATTAAGTACTAGCAGCAACCTTTCACACAATGCTGGAATATCCTGGAAAGCCAAAATTACAGCTAAACAGACTTCAGACCAAATTAGATGTGCTCCTACTACAGCAGGTCTTATGTAAAATAATGAGGATGTAGCAGATATGTACTCGCTTTTGCAAACAGCAGGTTAAATTCTCTATTGAGGGCTTTGGGAGGGAGGAATCGTGGAGGTGAGATGATTTGAAATGCTCTGTAGTAACTCCCTGGGCCAGCTACAGAAGTGGCAACAAAAGATGGCTGTAACATGAAGCCAGAGAACATGGGAAGGATTCTAGAGGAAAACCTGAGGAAAAGAGGTGCTCTCTTCTCTCTTTGTAAGCAGTAATTCACACTCCAAATGGGCCACCACATTCTCAAACTATTTAAAGCACTAGCAAGTAAAATCAGGGAAGAAACTATTCTCTATGTAGATTAGTGTTTGAAATAAAGAAACATTCGAAAACTTGTAATTCCTGTGCAGGACGAATATTTTTTGTAAAGCTCTATCACAAAGTATAATTTGATATATTTCTGATTTGGAAATGGATTTCACAAACCACATGTTCTGAACTAGAGCTATTCAGCTATTTCTGATTTGATGTTTTTAATTGAAAAATATTGATTTGTTGAAATCAATTTTTTTTTCTTTTTGCAGGAATGTACCAGCTTCAATGAAACACTCATCAAGAAAGGTTTTTCACATCCAGGATGTAATTTAACCCCAGAATAGCCAATTGCCCAGTGATTGGGCTACTCACCTGAGATGTGGAAGACCCTAACTCAAATCTCTGCTCTGTGTAATTTAGATCAGGATTTGAACCAGGGTCTCCCACATACCAAATAAGTAGTCCCTTAACCAGTGAGCTATTAGCTAATGGAGGAATGAGGGTTTCTTGTTGCTTTTCTCACAAAGCTTCTAAATGTTTCAAGTTCATTCCTATGCAGAACAGGAAAACTATTTACCACCCCGCACTATTCTGGACATCTTTTAGCAACACTGTTCTGTTGGCACCAGCATCAGGACCACTTGCAGTCTTAGCAGCAGTATGTTTCCAATGATGAACAAATGTCAGCAAATTAACTTGTGAAGTCATAGCCTAAGGCTATGTCTACACTAGCACTTTTGGCGGTATCACTTATGTTGCTCAGGGGTGTGTGGGGGGGGGGGACCCTCTGAGCGACACAGGTTACACCGACAGAAGTACCAGTGTGAACAACACTATCTCGGCAGGAGAAGCTCTCTTGCCAACATAGCTACTACCACTTACTGGTGGTGGCTTAATTATGTCAATGGGAGAGCTCTCTCCCATATGCACAGAGCAGCTACACAAGCAATTGCACAGCTGTGCCGTTGTAAGCTCGCTAGTGTAGACATGGCCTAAGTGGGTTCTGCTTGCAAGGTATGTAACTTGTTAAATGGAAGGGAACAAAATTTACATCACTCATTTCAGTCTACTTCCTAAGAATGGTCATACTAGGTCAGAACAGTGGTCCATTTAGCCCAGTATCCTGTCTTCCAACAGTGGTCAGAGCCAGCTGCTTCAGAGGCAATGAACGGAATAGGGCTATTTATCAAGAGATCCACTCCCCATCAGCTAGTCCCAGCTTCTGGCAGTCAGAGGCTTAGGAACACCCAGAGCATGGGGTTACATCCCTGATCATCTTGGCTAATAGCCACTGATAGACCTAATCTCCATGAATTATCTAATTCTTTCTTTAACATACTTTTGACCTTCACAACATCTTATAGCAACAAGCTGCATAGGTTGACCGTACATTGTGAAGTACATCCTTATGTATGTTTTTAAACCTGCTGCCTATTAATTTCATTGGGTGACCTCTAGTTGTTGTGTTTACATGAAGGGGTAAATAACACTTCCTTATTTACATTCTCCACACAATTCATGATTTTTATAGACCTACATCATATCCCCCCTTACTTATCTCTTCTCTAAACTGAATAGTGCCAGTCTTTTTAATCTCTCCTCCTACAGGAGCTGTTTCATACCCCTAATCTTTTTTGTTGGCTTTCTCTGTATTTTTTCCAATTCCAATGTATCTTCTTTGAGATGGAGTGACCAGAATCACACACTGTATTTAAGGTGTGGGCGTACCATGGATTTATATTGTGGCATTGTATTTTCTGTTGTCTTATCTATCCTTCTCTTAGTGGTTCCTAATATTGTTAGCTTTTTTGACTGCTCTTTTCCCTTGGAACTCTAGTAGTGACATCATCTTCTTTCAGAATACTCCCTAATTTTATAGCAAAGGAAGGTTTTACAAAAATCACATTTTTGTTTATTAGGCTTATGTCACATAGAAATAAGAGCTCATCACAGAAGTTCACAAACACGTGGAAAACTGGCAACTCACTATGCATAAAGGTGTTCTTTAAAAAAAATTTTTTTTTAAGAGGTACCATGTGAGTTATGGAGGCCACAGTTTCTCCTTGTGTGATATTGGTGACATTGTACTTGGAATAGTGTGTACAATTCTCAACACCTCAATAGAAAAGAGAGTGACAAAGAGCATAGTACAACCGTCAGGAATGGGGATACTTTCTACTGGTTAAGTTGGTGTTCTAAGTTACCATCAAGAATATAATGGATTTAGGGGGTGTTTGTCATTAAGTGTTGCAGAAATGTTTAGTACCCTTGGGCTGAATTATGGCTGCAGAACTGTTTGACAGTGGGGAGGTGGTTGAGAGGCAACTACATTAGGCATTGTAAGAAGGTTTGGCAGCTGAGAATAAGGGGGAAAATAGAGTTGGGGGCATGTCCTGTGGGGGTGTTTCCTCAACACCCCCATAATCTGTCAGATAATGTTTCAAATATTTTTTTCCTGTGTGCAATAGAAAACAACCCATATATTTGCATGTAATAACAGCTACTAAGGTGGAGATCCCCCTCCACTGAAAAATACATATTGGGGATCTATAATTCTGATTACTCAAATTCCAGCTGTAGTTCTTATTAGAAATAAAAAGGCAGCTATTAAAAAGGAAAGGAAAAGACATGCCATTAAGGGAAATGCAGATTGAAAATTTCAGTGCATAATCTATACTTTCTCCAGGATGCTAGCGCAAACTGTAAGGGGACTGCTTTCTAAATGAAAAAATGCAGTTGAAAATGCAGCTAACTCTGGGGTGGAATAGGGCAACTCACAACTAAATTATCCAACATTTTAGGACATGAAGTGATCAGCCCTGTACTCAATTGAAACTGAAGGAGAAATGCAGGGAGGCAGAATGCAGTGACTCAAATTGGAAATTGATCAGGAATACATTGGTGTTACTATCCCAATTCTTCCTAAATGAGCTGAAGGATCTTTACATGGCATAAATATTCCTGAAAACTGGAGAAAGGCACAAAGAAAGCACTTTACTTGAGGAAAATACAGTGAAGTACAGCAAGGCTAAGGACAGGAATTCTCAAGCTCAGGATAAACTTCAGAGCCTCCCACTCCATGTAACCAAGCAGCCTACATCCAGTTGCTGCAGAGTGCAGGAGTGAGGAAGAAATAATGAATGTAGCCTGCTGCTCCCATCCACTGCTGGACCTAGACCAGCAGTGTGTACTCATGCTTTGCATTAATCCTCTGGTGCACATCCCAACCCGCTCACACCCCCTTCCATAGCAGCACTTCTAGGACACACTGAAGGACAACACCACAATGAACTGCCAAGTGCTAACACAACTTCCTGCAAACTGGAGTGTTGCCTTGCCCATTTCCCATTTAAGTTCTAAGCCAGGCTTGATCCCACGGGGCATGAGAGATGCAAAAGGCCAGCACATCTTGTGTCAAAGATGCAGCCAATGTTATTGCAAAGGCTCCTGCACTAAAATCCCCCCTCCACTAGCAGAGGAAGACCCCCAGAAGCCGGGGAGGGGCTGTGTCCGCCCCCCACCCCGGAACACGGGGAGACCCTCAAACCGGGGAAGGGGCTTTGCGTCGCCCCCTCCCCCGCACGGGGAGAGCCGCTCTGGGGGACGAGACTCCGAACGGGGAACCCCCAGCCTCACCTCCTCCTGCAGGCCGCTCCCGTTGCCCGGGCAGCCAGCCCGGCCTCTCTCCCCGCCCCGGGTGCGGCGGCGCCTCCCCTCCGCTCCCCAGAGCCCGCACGTGGGTTCCGAGCGCGGCCGCTGCCCCCGGCTCTCTAGCCGCGCGGGCCGGGGGCCGGACTGGCTCAGCTGCCGCTACTGCTGCGGGGGAAGGGGGCCCGGACTCCGAGCCTGCCAGTGACGGACGGAGAAAGGGCCGGGGCGGCCTGGCTGGGCGCGGGCCCCGGCTGCCCCAGCTAATAGAGCTCAGTCTACGCCTGACCCCAGCTCGCTCCGTGGCGGTAGAAGCCCCCAGGGCCGTGTCCGCATAGGGTTGGCAGCACATGAGAACGGCCCTACTGGGTCAGGCCAAAGGTCCATCCAGCCCAGTATCCTGTCTGGAGTTGGCTGACAGTGAAAACCAGCCCTTTGTTTGCATGTAGCCTTAGACAAGACATAGCCGAGGGGTGCAGGCAAGGAGGTTCATAGAACACCAGGGTTGGAAGGGACCTCAGGAGGTCATCTAGTCCAACCCCCTGCTCAGTTTTTTTGCCCCAGATCCCTAAATGGCCCCCTCAAGGATTGAGTTTACAATCCTGGGTTTAGTGGGCCAATGCTCAAACCACTGAGCTATCCCTCCCCCCAACAAATTTCCCGGGCCCTGGCCTGCCTCCAGAAGCATGTCACTGGCATGTTTTGTCCGGATCTGTGCTTCACGCAGTGTTTGGCTTGCGCTCTTGGGACGGTCACGTTTGGACTGTGAGATCTTCAAAGTAGGGACCTCGTCTTCGCCCATGTTTGGCTAGCATTGGGCACCTTTTAGCACCCTGCGGCCCTGATCTTGAAGGAGGCTTCTGGGCACTGCTGTAATACAAAAGAATAATGTACAAGACAGGTTAGCCACTGTAGATCAGGATACACGGTGTAGCTAATGACTGCATAATTGGAGGGAGACAGTAAAGAGCAAGATGGAGATGGATAGGCAATGGTTCTCAGGCTGTGGTCTGCAGAGCATTTGCTGGCATGTACAGAGAGCTGGCTGCTCACACTATGCTGGCCCTTCTCCTTTCTACTCAGCCTGCCAAATCAAAAAAGTGACACCTGCATTAAATACTTTCCTCATATTTATTTGTTTCCGTTTGTGAAATTGCTAAAGATGCTACAGAGATTTTGTGTGATTGTGAATGGGAGGGGAAATAATCCACATGACAGAAAATGAGAGTTGGTGGCGTGACAGTGAAAGGAGAACACACTTATAGTTGTGGTCCACTATGAGAAAATGAAAAAATATATATATATTCAGAAAGGTCTGCCCTCTATATCAAGAAAATTTGTACCATGTGCTAATACATCTCTAACCCAAGGATTCACTTGTTATTTATTGTTGTATTTCCATCTGAGGAGTTTAGTGAAGCTAACAGCATAATAAGATTCCAAAATGAGTAAGAACACAATTTGGAGTAATTTAAGATAGGCTTCCTGTTTTCATGCTCTGGGACATAAATGATCACCAGCTTAGGCCAACCTCTTCACAGTTTCTTCCAGATCACTAATTAAGATATCAAATAAAACAAAAACTGATAGAGCCTTACAGTTCACCACTAAACACCGTTCCCCACAATTCAACACTTTCTCATTACCAATTTTATGAAAATAGGTAATGACTTTAGGTTACTGACTTGGTCAGAATTTGAATTGATTTCCTAGAGATGAAAGATTCTGACATTTCATTTCAATCTCCTGATCCACCCAATCCCTTTTAAATTCATAATTTTGGTGCATGAAAAATATATTACTCTAACAGGTTTATTCCTTTGACATTTATTCAGGGCAAGTATTGTCTTCACATTTGAGTCATTTGGTTTGGAGTCCAGGATACAAATAATTTTTTTTTGTCTTTCTTAAACAGGTCAGTTTATTGTTGTAATGTACCATTTGATGCCTAGGAAGTTCATATTTTGAACAGCATATTCTTTGAACCGATATTTGTTTCTAAAGGATTTGAAGATGCTAATGGATGGCCCAACCCAGTTATGTCAGAGGATATTAAGATTTGCTACCACTAATGTACTGGAGTTGTTTCTATACAGAACCGTAAATAGTGTTGTGTGAGAAGCACTGACAGGCTTTTACTGCAGCTCATCTCTTCTTCATATGTTATGTTTAAATTTAACACAATTGTTGAATGTCTTAGTACAGGCAAATGCTTTCTGATGTCTCCATCCACTAAGACTGCAATATCCCTTTTAACCATAGTGCTGCATAAGAATCCATATTCGATGGGTGTGTGCATTTCTCAGGTGACTGTAATCCAGTTAACCTTGTGGACAGAACTAATTGGGCTCTCATAATGAAATTCATTACCCAGTGGTGGACTGGCCTCACACCATACTCTGATGATGGATAAAATTTATGTAACTCATTATATACCCAGGTGTTTTCACCCAGAAACGTTAAACTTAAATATTTGAAATCTGAGAAATAAGTGTTTAGAGTTAAAAATATCAAGAATTTTTGTCTTTACCAGCATAGACATTGAAAGTGCTGCCAAGTAGCACCCAGACTCTGTAAATCATTGAACAGAATGCTTAACTTAAAAATATTGCACAGAAAATGATATGGAATGTGTCTCTCTCTGAGGGGTTACTGCAGAGGGCCTGCTGCATTTGAAAATGGTGGTTTCAATTCCAATTAATCCATATCTTCAATTAGGAAATGGACTGGTCTGCGGCTTAGTGTTGTTTGAGACTGGCAGTTGTCCATGGCAGATCAGAAGTTGTGCACACAGATGAAATATTAATAGCCATCATTACTATACAGGTTTAAGTAGACAGGAATTAAATGGTGCCGCAAGATGAAATGGAACAAAAATGTTACAGATCGGTGTTTGTGAGAAACTGAAGAATTTTTCTAATGGGTAAATATTGAATTTTATAGAATTATTTAAATCTTGAAACTAAAGGATTATTCATATTCTGGTGGCTATGGAAACATGCAGTTTATGTAATCTTGGCTGGACTACTTGGCTGAAGGACATGCTCCTTGTTAAAATTAAGTGACTTAATTTCATAAGTATTTGGTGCCAGGCAGAAGGGAATAGGGACTCCATGGTAAAAAATATTTAGAACTCCAGTCATGAGCCACTGCACATAAAAAAGAATCATTTTATTACAGTAAAAGTAATGGAGTGACTGGCAGGTGTCTGTTTTTAATTATGCTCTGCCTGGCAGAAAGAAGACACAGTAGGGTTCTACTTCCATTGAGCTACAGAATAGGATGGGGAGGGGCTAAAATCTTTTGTGAAAAAGGTAAACTTCCTTTTTAGAAGCAGCCATACTGTCTTGTATTGTGATCTTGTCAGCTTTTATAGGCAAAGTTAGATCAGACTTGGTAAGTATGTGGATGAGAGACTTCCAAGAAAAGCACTGGTCCTGAAGGAAGTGCTATGAGAGATCAAGTAATTTAGCATTTTTTGCTCCATGTCAGTAACAAATCTGTTACCTCCATGTGGTGCTAGAGGACATTATGCTGCTGAAAGTGTTGTCTTTAGATGAGACTTAAAACAATAAGATACTTTACCACTTTGATACTAAGGATCCCAAGTCTTTTTTTGCAAAGATTTGGGTATTAGCCTTTGTGACTTGCCCTAGATTCCAAGCTGAGTAATTATATTGTGCTTTCCTAATTTTAATTTGCACTTTCAAGTGGATATATTATTATTTACTTTTTGTCCTAATGTGCTGTGCTGTTAAACAGCTGACACACATGTTCATCCTCACAGTTGGCAACATTTCAATGGGAAAGGCATATGTAGACTGTAAGATGCTTTTGGATCCTTCTCATCTTATGATTACAGTGTAATTAAAATACGAGACACAAAGCAGATCATAATTCAAATAAAACAGTCCTAAAATTGGTTTGAGGAGCTCATTAAAATCCATAGGAAAGTGCAGCCACTTCCTCCCACCAGCACTCCAAAATGATGATAGACTCGCCTTTCTGTGTGAGGAAACACAAGCACACTATCAAACAATTTTTTTTCATTTATTACACATTCAAACCTTGATGGGAAACTGTGTGTGTGGGGGGGGGGGAACAGCATCTGAAAAAGGAAGTTTAAAACAAATGTTTTTCAGAGAGTGATTTCAAGAATATGTAATGCAATGTCAGTGATTTTTCAGCATCCCAAACATTTCCAGAGAGTATGATGCCTTGTTCTTTTGGAAATTGCATAGCTAAATTCATGATGTTCATGTTATACATTTTATCAATTTCTCCAGCAAGCTCAATTGAAATCTATATGTCATCTGTTTATCAAGCAGCAACTGGCAACCAAACTGGGTCAATAACAAAGCACAGTGAGTTCCCTGTTCTAGTATTAAGCTGTCTTCAAAATAACTGCCTCTGTCTGCTTCTCCATGTCCTTGAGTTCCTTAGGTTTGAGTTTCCTCTACCTTACACCGGTATAATTCCACTAACTTCAAAAGAGTTACTGCTTGTGACAGACTGAACAATATTCTGCAACATCCTGGACAAATCTTGTGGAATTAAGATAAACTTTACTGAATTAAGTTAAACCTTATTGAATTAGGTTTAATACCTTTTGCATCCATTGTATTAAAAATGCAATTGTGTATGTGTTGTTGTGGATTGTATGTAACTCCTCTAGAAGGAGGGGGATGCTAATATAATTGCTCTGGTTATCAGACCCTTTGAAGCCAGCCCCTGGAGAGGTTCACATATGCTAGTTTAAACTGGATTCTCCAGGGACAACCAGACAAAAGGCATGTCTTCACTACCCGCCGATCCAGCGGGTAGCAATCGGTCTATCGGGGATCGACTTACCGCGTCTAGTGAAGAGGCGGTAAAATCGATCCCTGATCGCTCTGCCGTCGACTCTGGAAATCCACCTCAGCAAGAGGCGGCAGCGGAGTCGGCGGCAGCGCGGCGGCGGTCGACTTTCCCGCGTCCTCACCGCCAGGTAAGCCGACCTAAAATACGCAACTTCAGCTACGGTA